TTTTTTTTTTTTTTTTTTTTTTTTTTTTTTGTAGTCAATCCAAATGTACTGGCCAAGCCAACTTTTGAAATAAGATTATATGATTAGGTATTAGCAGAGACAAAGAGTTACTGCCTCCATCTTACTCTGCCCTATTTGAAAGTCTCAGGGGAGAGAAGGGAACAAGATGCCGACCTAACCTGAGTGGAGTCAGGTGAGGCATCTTTACATCTAAGAATTTTTATGACATTGAATCAGTCAACTGGGCTACACATCATCAGTCAGTATTTCAGCAATTTTATGCAATAAAAATAACATTAGATTATAAACCAAGAACTCTCATTTATGTTTTAGTTTATTAAATGGTTTTTGTCTTTATTCAGACATGAATCACATCACTCTCTAGCACCTGTTTTGTCCTTCACCATTTGATCTCTAACATGATTTCTAGCTTTATTACCAGTGATTGTAGGAGTCTTACGATGTTGAAAGTTCTATGAGGTCATAAAAAGGGACATGTTCCCTTCTGTAATGAAACCAAATTTAAATTTATGTCCAGATGAAACTGGACAACCACATGAGAAAAAAAGCTGTCAATGAAGTTATAAATATAGATCTTTTAAAAATATCTTTTCTTAGTTTAAAAAAAAAATGCCACTGAGTAAGTGTGTGAGATTTGATCAAGACATTTACAAAGCTGGGATCGATTTTGGGCTTAGCATTTTATGAAGGATGTAAAAAATTTGAATTAACCTGGAGGGGGAATGGTCAGAGTGGTATCATTGTTGATAATAAATAGCTCTACTTAATTAAACATGCAATTTTAAAAACACTTCTTTTGTGATTAAAGTTCCCCATTCACCATGAAGCCTTCTAGAAATTCTTGAAGAAATATGAGTAATTTCTTCTTGACATCACGCCTCCAAATAAGGATAGCTCAGGACACAATTTTCTGTCACCATTCCCTTACTTTCCCCAAAATTCAGGAAGTGATTTCTGAGATCCCTGCTTGCACAAGGCACTGAGCTAGTAAGACATTCTTGGACTTGCTCAGTGCTTGTTTAGTAGTTCTTTGTGGATATTTACATCAACGTACTATCATATTTTGAACTTCTGGAGAAAATATACCTGCCCTCATTGCATATTTCCCACACTAAAATCAGGCTAATAAAATTAACTTAATAAACGCTCTTAGTGAAAAGCAAATTTGAATGATGTGTTCCTCTGGCTTAAACACTTTGTAGAGGCTATTGGATATTCTAGTTATTCACCAAACTTACTGTATAATTATAGGTTCCTGGCATATGTTAGTTGCTCAGAAATGCTTTTAGGATGTATACAGGTGCTGAATAAGTTTTATCGGACAAAAATGATGATGACAGGTAAGATAATTTCATGTTAAATATGAAATATATCCTACAATAAGAGTAAGAACATCCGCTGCCCCTCCTACTGTACTTGAAGTTCTCAAACATACATTTTTAGACCAAACTAAATATATCAGGCACTTGCAGCTGCATTTAATTATCAATACATGTCATCATATGACACTTCAATTTCACTGGCAATCATAAAAATAGGTTACTATGCAAATCCCAATGCTTTTGCTATTTGTAGGCCAAACAAGCAGTCTGGTAGGATGCCAGTAGGTATCAGTGGGAGAATAAAGGCATTTCTTTTTGGTAATTTATTTCTAGATGTGTTTGTCCCTTTCCCTAGATAAACTCTCTCAGAGAAGACTGACATTTTTCTGTACCCTACAGAGAGATTAGTGAATGCATAATCACACAGTGACAGGTCCGGCTCCAATGTGTTTCTCATTAAA